ATCTAATTTAACAGTTTTCTGCGAAAAAACTAAGGTTCTAATGCTTGAAAAATGCAAACTAAATCTTCCGAAAAAATCTAAAATAGATTAGAAATTGATAATTTTAAGCTTATTTTGACGATATCTTGATAAATAAGCGAGTTTCTCGATCAAATTTAGTGATTTTTTGGCTTGTTTTACCTAAAGCTTAAAAAAATAAATTTTTGGCTTATCTACGTGTTTAAGCGTTTTGCATAGGGCAAAAGTAATAACAATTTGGTGTTTTGTTTGCGTAGAACTTATCGAAAAAGTGCATTTTTGACTGAAAAATATGCCAAAACGCTCAAAAATACTATTATTTTCCATTTAATTTAGTGATTTTTCGACATAATTTGGCAATTTTTTTTTTTGTTTTTTTTAGCAAAACGATATCAAAGATATTTTTTTTTGAGTTTTGAGTTTTTTTTTCTCAAAAACGTCCCGAAAAAGGTTATTTTTCAATTAATTTTATGATTTTTCGACATAATTTGGCGATGTTTTGTTTTTTGAGCAAAACAACTTTTGGCTATAAAAGAGCAAAATGTCTTTAAATAAATGAGGTTTTTTCTGTCCGCCGTTTGTTAATTAGGGTTCAATGCTTGGATTTAATTTTTGCATGATTTTTTATGCTTTCATTGGTAGGTTTATCAACAGGTAATTTATTTCGCTTTAGGGAAAAAATTCAAGAGTTTGATTATTTTTTTATATTTTCAGTCATGTCAACGATTGGTCAAATCGTCGTTGATGGGCGTATTTACCCCTCACAATCCGTATCCCCATCCCCACATGGATCCCCCAGTCCTGGTCATTCCCGACAATCCCCTATTAATCAAATCCTCCAACAGTCACCCCCTTACCAACAACAAGGGGGTTTCCAACAATCACCCAGATTACCACCACCATATGGGCAATTTGGAAATGGGCCCCAATACCCACAAAATCAAAATATTAGTCCGAAAATGATGGGTCCACCAATTCCAATTTCATTAGCCCAACAATTGGGTGCTAATCGAATGCAAATGCCACGGCAAATGCCTCGGCCTTTATTACCTCGAATGAATTCAATGAATCAACAACAGGTAAATTTGGTGTATTTTTTTTACATGAAACAGATTTTTTTTAATCAGCAGGTTTCATCATCAACTCACCCCCAAAACATGTTATCGGATCGAAGTAATCTGCGGTGTTTGTTGCAACCAGTTTCGAGTAATTCCCCGGTTTATATTCAAACAGGGCCTGCACAATACCAAGCAGTGCAACCACATATGGCCCAACAGTACCAAAATCGTTTTCCCCCAAACCAACAACCACAACAACAACAACAACAACAAGCGTTTCGCCAACAACCCCCCATGCCTATGATGATGAACCAAAATCGTCCTCAAAGACAGTTTCAAATGCAAACAGGGGGCTCAGCTCGTTGGCACATACCACAACAACAAATCAATAATAATAATATACAAGGGGGCAATCGTAATATGACTTTACCTACAATCAATGATAATTTTAAAATCACACTAAAACAACAACAAACTCAAGAGAATTGTCGAAATCTACCAGCGACTGTTACTTCAACCATTCCTAAAACACCAAGTCCGAATCATATTCAAGGTCGTAGTGATACTGAACGAAGTCTTGATAAATTTTGTGAGGATTCTGTAAAGGATTTAATGGCAACTATTGCAAAATTAGATTCAAATGGGGTACAAGTTGTCGCTGAAGGACGACAAAAAGGGGGCTCACCACATGTTGATAGTTCGACAGGTGATGCAGGACCATCGGGGAAAATTAAAAGTGATCCAATGGAAACGGGCAAAGATGACCCCAATGAAGATTGGTGTGCGGTGTGTATGGATGGGGGTGAGCTTGTCTGTTGCGATAAGTGCCCCAAAGTGTTTCATCAGTACTGTCACATTCCCAATCTGAGCGTAGAGTGAGTATTAAAAAAAAACGAAAAAAAAAATTCGGACACCCTGTATAAAAATATACAGGGTGATTTTAATATTTGTGCTTAAATTTTACAAGGTTATATTACAGGTCTTAAAACGTCAAAATGTTTAGTTTCTGAGATATTGTAACTCTGTATATACAAGCTGTCCTAAAAGTAAACCAATGTCAATCAATGATAAAAAAAAGTTTAAATACTTTCATAAGTCTAATTTAATTAATACTGTCAAAGCGACTAAGATAAATATGATCTGAAAACGATAAAAAAAAACTTTAATTGGAAAAAAGTATTAAGAGATAATAACTAAAAAAATGCTTGAAATGAATGAGACTTTAAGCTAAGAAATTGTTTCATAAATGTCATACGAAATGTATTTCCCAACTCTTTAAACGAATGACTCAGTGGAAAGAAAAGTTTTTATTTTTTATTTTGGACCTTTAATTATTTTTCTGYGTTTTAAATTCCATCACATTGGCGGTTTTATGTCACTTTGACAAATGAGTTAAATAACAAAAATTTTTGTGGAAAACATAATTTTAATAAATGACAACTCAAAAAATAGCATTAAGATAAAAAAGCAAAGTAATTTTTAACAAGAACAATCATTATTAGTTAATTAATTGTCAAAAAAATTAAATATGATAAGACTTAAAAGTTCAAAATCAAATGAAAAATGATTTTTTGATGGTTGATGATTTGGTCGTTTTAGCTTAAGCAAAAAATGTTATTCCTTTGAAAAGAAAATTTTCCAATCCGGGGACATACTGTATATTTTTCTTTTTCAACAAAATTCAATTAATATTTGTTTTGATTTGTTTTAAATATGAGTCTGAATTTTCTTTCTATCTTAACCTAAGTAATAACCCCCCAGAATTTTCTAAATTTTTTTTCGAACACCTTGTATAAATATATACAAGGTGATTTTATTACTTGTGCTTAAATTTTAATAGATGATAGTACAGGTCTTAAGACGTCAAAATAATTCATCTTGCTTTAACCGAATGTTTAGTTTCTGAGATATTGTAACCCTGTATATACAGGCTGTCCCAAAAGTAAATCGCCATATGTCAACCAATGATAGAAAACGTAATTCTGATAAAAAAAATAAATGTTTTTTTTTCTATCTTTATTTGTTAAAGAGTTACAGCGTAGTAAAGAGTATCAATGAATTTTCTACAAGTTGGTCGAGATAAATTAAAAACGATGACATTTATGAAATTGCTTAGTTCTAAGTCTAATTGAATAATAATAAAAAAATTAAGTAAAGAGTTAATACCTAAAAAAATTGTTTGAAATGAATGAGACTTTTAGCTAAAAAATTGCTTCATAAATGTCATAAGAAATTTATATCCTAAGCTGTAAGTCTAACGAAGTTTTTATTTATTTTGGACCTATAATTATTTTTCTCTGCGTTTTAAATCTTATCACATTGGTAGTTTTTTTTTTTGACAACGATGTCACTTTGACAAATGAGTTTACGCAAGTTAAATAACAAAAATGACAAAAAACATAATTTTAATAAATGACAACTCAAAAAAATAGCTTTAAGATAAAAACAGTCATTTTTAATTAATTAATTTTCGAAAAAATTAAATCGTCAATGTTAAAATCAAGAGCAAAATGAAGTTTTCTTTCTACTGAGTCAGAATAATGAAATCTTAATTAATAATTACTGATTTTCTCGTTTTAGTTTAAGCAAAAAATGTTATTCTTTTCAAGTTTTGGGGGAAAATCAGACAATTTTTTTTCTTTTTGTAAACTCAATGCGGGGACATACTGTATATTTTACTTTTTTAACAAAATGCAATTAATATTTCTTTTGATTTGTTTTATTACATGGCTCTAGCTTCCTTAAGAAGCATTTCCGGATATGAGTCTATAGGAATTTTTTTTCTATCTTGACCTAAGTAATCACCCCCCAAAAATCTTCTAATATTTTTTTCGGACACGCTGTATAAATATATACAGGGTGATTTTAATTGTTGTGTTTAAATTTTAATAGGGTATAGTACAGGTCTAAAGAAGTCAAAATAACTCAACTTGTCTTATCCAAATGTTTATTATTTCTGAGATATTTATTTTTTTTGTTTTGCAAACTCGGTTAATATTTATTTTGATTTGTTTTAAGGGAGAACGACACGTGGCAGTGTTTGTTGTGTACGAATTTCGCCGATTTTTCCGACGAAGTTTCAAGTGAGAAAAAAGAAGGGGAGCTTTGTTTCAAAGACAAGAAAATCGCAGAACGTATCGTTTTGGAATTGTATTGTCAATACGATCCTAGTTTACCGTTTCGGGAAGTAATTGGTCCTGAGAATGAGGAGTATCATGCGATTATTAAAAATCCGATTGCGCTTGATTCGATTCGTCAGAAATTGAACTGGAATTCAGCAGAGCATTACACCAGTATGGAGCAGTTGGTTAAAGACGTTCGATTGATGTTTAAAAATGCCTACACGTATAATCCTGTAAGGGAATGAGTTTTGGTGATTTTAGTTGAGTTTGTGTGTGTTTTTTAGGAGGATTCTCAAGTGTACGCCGATGCTAAAGTCTTGGAGAAGTTCTTTGACGAGCAATTGGAAAAATTCCTGCCTGAATACGCTTACGAACATTTTGATGATGATGATGACATTCAGCCGCCTAATAAAAAGTATCGACGTATAATAAGTGACTGACAGATTGTTCATGGGGCGAATAACACGGTATATTTCTCTCTCTAGTTCACAAACTGTAATTTTTAATTAAGAGATTTTTATGTAGTAAATCAGGGTTCAAATCGAGTAAACTAAACTGTTTTAATGTTGGCAAGATGTTAGATCTTTATTCTCTTTTAGCGATTGTTAGTTGTATGTTTTCTTTTTAGTGGATTTCACATAGTCTACAATTAAATTGATGTTATAGGAGGTCGAAATTGTGTGGAGTATACAGGGTGTTCCGTCTAAACCCCACATTAGAAGTATTGGGAGTTGGAATAATCGTATTTATTTGAAATTTGGTATATATCCATAAACCATTAAGTCCTCCTAAATGAAAGTATTTTCAAGATGGCGGCATTTCCGGTTATACCGGAAGTCGGTCTCAACTTTCTTATTTTAAATAGAAAGGTATATTTTTTACTTCGTTTTTGGATTAATCGGGTTATTTTAAGAGAGTTTTTATCAGCTTTCCCTATACCTAAATTTAGCCGTTTTTGAAATATTTGGAGTTTTTCAAAATTTTTTGGATCTGCACCTTCCACTTTAAAAACCGGTAACTCTGACATTTTTTAAGATTTTGAATTCGTTTTTTTGGCGTTTGAAAGAGAAAACTTAGATCCTTTTTCTGGTGTTTTCAAATTTTGAAAAAAAAAATAACATATCCCAAAATTTTAAGGTTACTTTTGTAATAATTCAAATGCTCAAAACTCAATTTTTTTAAATGAAATACCGCAATTTTTATTTCACGAAATAGAAGAGAATTTAATTGTGCACTGATCTGTATTAACAATTTAATAATTTTCAAGTTATGGACTTTTTTTTAAGACTACAGAAAATTTATTACTAACCACACATGTCAAAATTTTCACTAAACAAACGTCAACAGTAAATTACTATTTGAGAAATAGTGCCAAAATATGAAGAATCAAAGTTATGCAAACTTAATTATTATTGATAGGTTCTACCATGCGATCATTATTTAAAGCTAACAAGTGAGAAAAATTTATTTTTGTTTAATGAACGACATAATTTTGTTACACTCTCCATAAATTCAAAATAAATTAATTAAATCGTAAGTTTGAGTAGCTTTGACTCTCCATATTTTGGCACTATTTGTCAAATAATGAGTCACTGTTGACATTTTTGATTTCCATAGCAAACTATACGAAAACGTAATAGATTTTCGACAGTCTTAACAAAAAGTCACCATAACTTAAAATTATTAAATTTTGGTATAGGGAATGTTAATACAAATCGATGCAGAATTAAATTCTCTTCCATTTAGTAAAATAAAAATTGGGGTATTACATTTGGAAAATTTGAGTTATGGGTATTTGAATTATTACAAAAGTAACCTTAAAATTTTATGGTTTGTAATTTTTTTTCTAAATTTGAAAATACCGGATGAAAGATCTAAACTTTCTCTTTCAAACGCCAAAAAAACGAATCCAAAATTTTAAAAAATAGCAGAGTTACCGATTTTTAAAGTGGAAGTGCAGATCCAAAATTTTTTGAAAAACTCCAAATATTTCAAAAACGGCAAAATTTGGGAAAACTCCCTTAAAATAACCTGATTAATTCAAAAACGCGGTAAAAAATATAGCTTTCCATTTAAAATAAGAAAGTTGAGACCGACTTCCGGCATAAAATATTTTTATTTAGGAGGACTTAATGCATTATGGCTATGGACCAATTTTCAAACAAATATGATTATTCGAACTCCCAATAGTTTTAATGTGGGGTTTAGACGGAACACCCTGTATTATTGAATATATCAAAACTATTGAGGAAACAACACAAGATAAATATTTATCTATTTTGTTATTTGTATTGATTTTCTGATAATCAATTTGTAAGCTGTATAAAATTAAATAAACCGTTATTGTCATTGGGGCTTTTCCCTCCCCTACCACACTCCTAGACCAAAATTTGTTCGTGATAATTTTAGGCTGTCTCTGGGGGCTGAACGAGTCGTAAAGATCGCGTAGCTGATAGGAATTTTTTATTGTCGGCGGCGGCGGCGGCGGCGKCACGAGATTTCTACAGGTGGCTGGCGGCGGCGGATCGTCGGTTGTCGTCGGCCGATTTGGCCGCCCCAGACAGCGCGTCTCCGGCAAGGGTAGTGTGCATTTGCTGCGAGTACGGGAGCCACGCGGTCTCGACGCCCACGCTAAAGGTACGTAATTTCTATTTTTGAACRTGGTGTTTCCGGTGCGAGGGTGGGTCCGAGCCAAAAAACCCTAAATTGAGACATTTCGAGGGCGGTTGATCGTGATTGGGTAAATTAAGGGTTTGTCATGATTATGTTTTTGCTGAAAACTGATCAATTTCAAAATCGACTTCAGATGTGCACTTGACCCGGAAGCTCACATCAAAGGCGAGAGTCGCAATATGAACAGCTTTTTCTAGTTTTTCTCAAACGGAACTTAACTCGAAA